GGTGATTCGGGATTTCCTGGACTGCGATTCGTTGTATGTCAGGGTTGACCCTTATCATCGCTGCCAAGGCTTCCATCATCAGGACGAATAGCATCGGGGCTATAAGGTCTCCTTGTCTCACAGATCTCTGCAATCTAATAGGTGGCGCAAGGTGTCCATTCATCATGATGTTTGTGGCTGCTGTTCGGTGGAGTATGTTCACCCATTTCAAGAATACGGGCCAAAAGTTCATCTTGTTTAGGCATAATTCCAGGAAATCCCAATCCACGTGATCATACGCTTTCTCAAAGTCAATAAAGAGGATGGCAGCGTCAACTTTATGCTGTCTTGCATACCTGATGGTTTCATTGAATCTAAGTTCATCACCAAGAAACTCTAATCACAACAGCCGTGATAACCCTAATTTATTTAGTAACCCAAATTCCACCAACCGTGAAGAAACCATGCGCAAAAAAAAGGAAAAGTACCGAAAAAAATGATTCAAAACCACAGAAACAGAAAGGGAACCAGCAGTCAGCGGCTAATTGATCATGTCCACTATTCATCCGGAATTACCACCAACCCCTGCCAATCCGCCCTGCCACCCGCGCGGCAGGGGTCTATGCCCACAGGCCCCAAACCGCTGACAGACCCTCAGCCAAAAGTTGCTTGTACCGAAATTTTACAGAAGATATTTTTCTTTCCAGATTGTTTTGAGTTTTTTTAATTTTCTGTTTTTTTTTTAATAATATTATTGCGCTGGGACTGCCCGGGAACCTGTGCGGACTCTGCCCGTCCTGGGCGACCTTCCCTCAGCCGGGCCTCTCGGGGACCACCCTAGATGTTATGCAGAAGACAAACTGAACAAGTTTTTTTTTTTTTTTTTTCTTTTGACAAGAACACCCGGGCGGATGCTAGGGGAGCTGGTTAGATGGCGAGCCTAGGCCGAACAGAGATGAGCTGCACAGGGGTCACTTTCTTTATCAGGTCAACCAGCGTCCAAGCATACCGCTACCCATAGATAAGGAGGCCTTTCTTATCTTAAGAGAATGATGGTCAACTTTTTTTTTTTTTTTTTTTTTTTTTTTTTTTTTTTTTTTTTTTTTTTTTTTTTTTTTTTTCTGAAGGCCCTTGTGCAAGACCTCTATCCTGGTGGTGGTAAGAGAACCTCCGGGATTGAGGCTTTGCCTAGCGGGCCGCTCCATCTATTGGTGGGGAGCAACACCTGCTGGAAACCGGGTCCAGCGTCCCAAAATTACATCTTTGCCACACATTACATCAATGAGGAGACGCCAAAATGCTGGAAACCGGGTCCAGCGTCCCTTATCCACTCTACTCTTCCATCCCTAACCTGCATCAGGGTCGGGTGTTGGGGGGTGACCCACCNGCCCCTCCGGTGCCCCTAATGCCACCACCAAAAAATATATATTTTACTATTTTCTCCTATTTTCAAGTATTCTGTGGGTATTTGATATATATTGCTCCCCCAAACTCCCCTCTCTACAAAAAAAAAAAAAAAAAAAAAAAAAAAAAAAATTATAAAAAAAAAATTTTTTTAAAAAAAAAAAAAAAAAAAAAAAAAAAAAAAAAAAAAAAAAAAAAAAAAAAAAAAAAGGTGTCACTTAAAAAAAACTAGATGTTTAAAAGAAACAACTTTTTTTGGGGTTCTTTCCTTTTTTTTTTTTTTTTTTTTTTTGAACAGGCCCTTGTACAAAACCTCTATCCTGGTGGTGGTAAGAGAACCACCGGGATTGAGGCTTTGCCTGGCGGGTCGCTCCATCTATTGGTGGGGAGCATCACCTGCTGGGAACCGGGCCCATCGTCCCATGAATACATCTGTGCAAAACAGTACATCATTGAGGGTGACGCCATTGAGCCATATCTTAACCTTTTCCTTCATACCTAGCCTGCAGCACGGTCGGGTACTGGGGGGAGACCCACCAGGGGGCACCAGTGGAATCTCCCTCCCTCCCCTAGCTCCTGCCCTCCTCCTACGATCCTTATGGCGTCCAGCGTCCCATGTACAGAAATTATACAGAAAAATAGAATGTCCATAATAGAATGTCTGAGGAACACTGAGAATTGTGGGGCCTGCCAAAGGAGCCAAGAAGATCAAGGAAAAACAGTCTGACACCACAGAGTGGCGCCCTGAAAAACTGGCACCATCGACAGGCTAGTCTGGACTGCAAATCGCCATGCCGTGTATTTGAGTGATTTAGATGACTCTAGGCCCCCAAGTATTCCTCCAGGGCCAACGGGTGAGGAGGAAAGGGATCACCGAACTCCTGCGCAGGTCTCAGCTGTTCTCCGGGATCCACCCTTGTCCAATCTTTGAAGAGAAGCTGGTAGTCTCTTTCCAGGTCTCCCTCCTGTCCTTCTCCATGGTCCAACCTGTCTCCTGTCCAATTCACCCTTGCGACCCAGCCCTCCCTCTCACCCCCCAGCCAGCCTTCACAGAACCGGGAGATAATGTTTTTAATGTCGCCCCTGCTGTAAACCTGACTCAGTTTTTCCTTAATGCTGTGCCATTGTGCCATGATCTCATACTGGAAGAGCAGCCGTATCTGTTATGTGACCTCCCCCTCCTCTACCCTGGCCCCTTCTAGTTCCAGGATGCATCTTCGCCAGCATATGGTCCAGAGGACTGTACGCCGGCCCAGGGAGAGCGTATTTGCTACAAAGGTGTTGTTGCGAAGGTGAGGGCAGTGTCCCAACAGAATGGCCCGCCAGTCCCAAGGCCATACGGAGCCTGGAACGATGTGCCGCCAGATCCTATCCCACCATCTCCATAGTAGGACAGCAGCCGGACATTGAAGGAAGATGTGCTCGACCGTCTCAGGGCGCTTTTTTCCGGGGAAATTTTGGTAGCAGCCCCGGCACCAGGGAAGCGCCCTTCCTTGTCGTTCGAGCTGTGTATGATCAATCAGCCAGTTATTGGTTGGCAGGCAACGGTGAGTAATTTGCCATTGCAGAGCGAAAATTTTTGCCGGCCTTTTGTGATACTCACCGAACCATTGGATAGATTTGAGTGCGCTTCGGTCCACGTTTAAATGGCGCTGCCATCTGTCCGCCACCACGTCTCGTAGCCCGCGCTTGGGCCTGAGCAACCGGTAGACGGACTTCGTTTTTAGGGTGGCTAGTTGGACCGTTCTTCCTTCCCCCCAACCCCGCCCTCCCTTGCCTCCCTTGTGGTCAACTCTTCTTTAAGCACAGCGTAAGCAAATTCCACTGTGTCGGGCACGCCACAAAGGTTACTCAGGTTGGAGAGCCGTGTGATAGGCACATCACACGACCATCTCTAGGCCCAGATGGGCAAATGGTCCCGTGCCACTCTGGTAACACAGATGTCTAGGCACACTGAACCCGATTTCCGGGACACTGAACCCGGTTCCTAAGGGACACCGAACCTGGTTTCTGGGGGACACTGAACTCTGTTTGTGGGACACTGAACCCGTTTCTCGGACCTGGGATGTAACCTGGTGTCATGGACACAGAGCCCGGTTTCTGGGACACTGAACCCGATTCTGGGACACTGAAATTGGTTTCTGGGGAACACTGAACCCGTTTTTTTTTTTTTTTTTTTTTTTTTTTTTTTTTTTTTTTTTTTTTAAATAATCCACCCGCACATACAGGTTCCCCATTTTTTCCGGGGAACATTCATGTTGGTGTATTTTTTTAAAAAAAAAAAAATCTGTTCCGGGTGACAGTCCCGTTGCTTATTACAGGCAAGCAGAAAAAAAAAAAACAGAAAACTGCTGGTAGTGCACAACCATCCCCCTGCCCGGGGGGTATTGGTTTCTGGGGAACACGGAACCCAATTTCTGGGACGTGGAGCTGTTGCGTATAGAGAGGAGCCATCTGCCATAGCAACACCTCTATCAAAAGGCCTACCCAAGGTAGTCGCAGTACTGGGCATCCGCCAACATTTTGAATGCATCTGGATAAATTTGAGTCCAGATGCATTCAAAATGTTAACGGATGGCGAGTAGTGCAACTAGGCCCTTAGGAACGCTCTCACCATTCCTAAGATGGAGGTCTTTATGACAAAGACGTAAACGAAAAAAGAAAAAAAGAAAAAAGAAAGCGCAAGTCTTTAGAGATGTTTATGAGGTGGTAGGGAGAGAGAGGTGTGGGGGCGAGGAGGGAGGTTAATGGAGATATAGGGGTATTGAGGGGTAGGGCGCCAGGAGTTTTTTTTTATTTTATTTTTCACAAGGAGGATGTTTGTGGGTGGGTGGGTGGGGTGGGGGGTCGCATGAAGGGTAAGCTGCACGCAGCATTGCCGAAAGCGGCAAAATTCATAGGGGCATAATGGCAAAACAACATATCAAAATGGAGGAGTGTTCAGAGACTGTCTCTTATACACATCTAGATGTGTATAAGAGACAGGCACAATCCTGAAAACCTCCTCTTCCTCATATGTACGTGTTCCCAAGAGGTACCAAGGTCTGCTGGCAGTGCTCACTAATCTATGAACAGACTATCTATAGATAGACAATTACCAAGGGCTGCATAGAGGACAGACAAAGATCCTTTTTTAACATTTTTAATAATTAAAAAAAAAAGTGATAATGGTGCCAAGGGCTGCTGGCAGTGCTCACTTATCTATAGACACAGACTATCTATAGATAGACAATTACCAAGGGCTGCATAGAGGACAGACAAAGATCATTTTGTAATATTTTTAATAATTAAAAAAGGAAGTTATAATGGTGCCAAGGGCTGCTGGCAGTGCTCACTAATCTATAGACAGACTATCTATAGATAGACAATAACCAGGGGCTGCATAGAGGACATACAAAGATCCTTTTTTAATATTTTTAATAATTAAAAAAGGAAATTATAATGGTGGCGAATCCGGAGTTAAATAACGTACAAGTGGGACATGGCCGCAGTTCCTGGATGCTTATTAAAGTCATTTTGAATTTCGAAATAATTATTGGCTGATATCTATGTTAAGAAGAAGAAGAAAAAAAAAAAAAAAAAGATAATCTATTGCAGAGTTGCCAGAAAATGCCAGATTGAGATAACAACCTTGATTAGGAAAGACGAGAAAAAAAGAAAAAATATTAAAGTCATTTTGAATTTCGAAATAATTACTGGCTGATATGCAAAAGATAATCTATTGCAGAGTTGCCAGAAAATGCCAGATTGAGATAAAAAACTTGATTAGGAAAGCCGAAAAAAAAAGGAAAAAAGAGAAAAAAAAGAAAGTGCTAAGGACTCCTCGGAAAAGAGGAAAGGGATACAATAGAAACAATTCACATAATTCCGAAAATGTAAGGAAAAGACTTAAAAAAAGAAAGAAAAGAAAAATAAATAAATAAAAAAAGCCCGACCTCATCATCGGCCGTCATAGCGGAACCTATATGGTGTTTCAAGCTTTGTGAAATTGAGAGAAGGCTCCGCGCTTGCTTCGTCATCCCGTATAAATGGCGGAACAGCAATCACCGTAAACCCGCTCGATTTGGCGAGGGCGGCACCATAGGCCTGAAAATCCAACAGACTGCAAAAGGAAAGCCAAATGGAATAACAA